GGTCAGCCCATGAGAAGAGAAGACTCCCTGGAAAAGACCCTGATGTTGGGAAAGTGTGAAGGAAAGAGAAGAAGGGGACGTCAGAGGACGAGATGGTTGGTCAGTGTCATCAAAGTTATGAACATGAATTTAACCAAACCCCAAGAGGCAGTGGAAGATAGAAGGGCCTGGTGTGCTCTGGTCCATGTGGTCACGAAGAGTCAGACACGACTTAATGACTAAACAACAAAAAGCATCACTGTCAGGGCACTGGTGATGCTGGACTGCCAGAAGCCAGTTGTGTAGCTAAAAATCTGTATATCACAGCTAGCAAAATCAAAAGGGGCTGAAAAGTCATGCAGGAGTATGACATGGCAATATATTGTGTTGCCTTAACGGAAATGTAATATCCAGATCATGGGAAGTAATAGTTCTATGTGTCCTGCATTAATCTGGACCAAATCTGGGGCAATGTTATAGATGCCTTGTTTTAAAAGGGTTTTGTCGAGTAAGAGCACATCCTGAGGAAATCAAAGAGGATGCTGTGAGGAACAGTTGAACAACTTGGGTGTATTCAGCTTGAAGAAAAGGTTAAAGGCAAATATGACATCACACAGGGGTCTGGATTAGATATATGGTTTCCGTATATGGTTAAACCCGAATCAGCCCCATGATCAAGACTTTGTGGAACAGTAGTTCAACAATATTTGGGTACTGAAGCAACCTTTGGACTAAATGATTTCCAACATGCCTTCCAACTCTATGATTCTGGGCCACTATTAATTTATTTTTAAAATTGTTCTTATTTATACAATTGTATCCCACTTTTCCCTGTCAAACAGAGTTTGAGGCAGCTTAGAGTAAAATAATACTGATACAATTAAAATATAAAATGGGTACGAACACTTAATCAAAATTCAGATTTAAGACATACTACCAGGGCGGGGGCGGGGGAGAGAGAGAGAGACAGTGCCACATTGTGCAAAAAGCCTGTTTGACATCATACAAGGTTGGTTGCCAAAGACCCTGCAGAAGGAGAACAAGGAGGGGGCTGGGCTAGCTTCCCATGGTAGAGAGTTCCAAAGCCTGGAAGTAGCCACCGAGAAGCTCCTCTCTAATGTTCAGAACAGAAAACTCTCAGAAGGCGGCTCAACCAAAATAAGCCTCCTCCCCCCACCACCAAAAAGAGGACTCTTATAGTAGGCTTATTGTGGTAAGCTTATCCTTTTCTCAATCTGTACATAAATGCACTTCCCAAGTTTCTTTCCAAGTTTTAAGAAGGGACGTTCTGCTTCAGAAAGGATCCATCACTATGCTTTCAGTGCAGAATTGAGTCTGGCTTTTTCATCAGAGAGTGTCATCTCTACACATGTTTGTATTTTAAAACAAATGTTTGTCTATCTTCTGCATCAGTGAAACCTGGTCCTACTAGCATTGTGGCTTTCTGTTGATTCTTGTGGGATCAGAGCAAATACCTAGCATGCAGCTCTGTGGAGAGTTATTTCAAATAAGCAGATGAATAAACGGTTTCAGTTCTGGGGAACAGACAAAAGAAGTGGCAATGCTGAACACCCGAAGGAAGAGCCTATTAAATCAGATGGACTTCTAAAAGCAAACTCTGTGAGTCCCTCACAGAGAGCCGACCTTCAGAATGCTTTTTGGCTGGTAGCCATTTTGGTGACTGTAGCTTTTTCTGGTAGGTATAGTCTAGACAAATAGAGCTGTGACTTTGCTTCTTTCCCAGTTTCTAGGTGGGCTATCTGGATGTATATCCAGAACAGGTGAAGGAGGAACAAGGCCGCAAACATATTCAGAGAGAGGAAGAGAGAGCAAGAGCAAGAGAGAGATTATATTCATGATGACAAAAATTGTCAGCTTATTGGGGCTATAAAGTTACTGAGGCAAACTAGCAGAGCTGGTGAGGTACATGGTGACACAAAGGGGGTTCACATACTTAAAATACTTGCGAAGAGACCGTACAGGCTTTTCTTGCGGCCTCAGGAACTGGTGCTGTGCCCCCACTGTACACATTTTTAGTGTAGCATGAAAAGGGATTCCATTGTTATACCTGTCTATATCTATAGAACGGCTTCACACAAGGCAGATCTGAAATGGTCTTGGATTTCTCCACGTACAGGGGAGCTTAGCAGCAAGCAGCTTCGTTTCACAGGCCCTGGAGGGCAGACATATGGCCAGCAGTCTTGTTCATGGCAGGCTCCCCTTTGCAGCCTCACCATCTCATTATTGCCTGACGTCCAGGATAGTTGCACCCAGTGCTTCCTCAAATGACTTAATGTAGTTTGGCAACATGCTTATTATCCGGTGCACATTTTTTTTTGGCAGGGGCACTCCTTGCTTATTTTGGATTTAGTGTGTCTTGTTCCTAGATTGGTCAGTGGTTGGTAAACCTGGGCTACGATCATTGAGGTTCATATTCCCCACAAAAAGTGTGTATCTCTAAGGAAATCTCATTATAGGCGGGAAATCAGGTTAGGAGTAAGGAATGTGCATTTCCCATAATGCCTAGTTCAGGGATGGGCCTAAGGAATGTGCATTCCCCATAATGCCTAGTTCAGGGATGGGCCTTCCAGATGTGGCTCGGCTGCAGCTCCCAGCATTCTCCAGCATTGACTATGCTGGCTAGTGCTGATGGAAGTTGCAGTCCATCAACATCTGGGGTGGTGGTGTTTGCGCATAGCCACCCTGAGCCTTCCCTCTCCTCTCATGCCTAGTGCTGTAGCAATGTCATCTCAACATTCTGAGTTGTCCTGTTTTGACAGCATGTTATTGTCTCCTTCTTTCCTTCCCTCTTTAGCCAACAGCCAGAAACCTGCTGCCTTGGCTTGCCCAGCACAGCCTTGGTAATGGAGCCAACACTCAGGACCTGGGGGGGAGGGTTGTCATAGGAAACCACACCTTCCTCTAGGCAGGAGTGTAATATGGGGTTGACCTGTGGAGTGAGTGGAAGCTCAGTTGGATAATCATCCTGGTTGCCTCTGTCCCACTTTTCTTGCCAAAAATGCAGGAGGCTTTATTTTTCATTTACATTCTAAAGATAAATCATGCAAAGAACAAAGAATGAAAGTACTATTCCAGTGACCAAAAGGTGCACCTCTTACTCAAAGATGGGGGGAAGTTGTGGGTTGTTCTTGTTGTTGTTGTGTGTTTTTTACTACAAGTCTCATAATCCCTCAGTCAGAATGGCCACCGATTCAATTAATGTTTAGCTAAAAAGCAGAGATATCACCTTGCCAACAAAAGTCCGAATAGTCAAAGCTATGGTTTTTCCTGTAGTGATGTATGGAAGTGAGAGCTGGACCATAAAGAAAGCTGACCACTGAAGAATTGATGCCTTTGAATTGTGGTGCTGGAGGAGGCTCTTGAGAGTCCCCTGGACTTCAAGGAGAACAAATCTATCAATTCTAAAGGAAATCAACCCTGAGTGCTCACTGGAAGGACAGATCCTGAAGCTGAGGCTCCAATACTTTGGCCATCTCATGAGAAGAGAGGACTCCCTGGAAAAGACCTTAATGTTGGGAAAGTGTGAAGGCAAGAGGAGAAGGGGACGACAGAGGATGAGATGGTTGGACAGTGTCACCGAAGCAACCAACATGAATGAAGTTGTGGGTTGTTGTTGTGGTGGTTGTTGTTGTTGTTGTGGTGTGTTTTTTACTACAAGTCTCATAATCCCTCAGACAGAATGGCCACCGGTTCAATTAATGTCTAGCTAAAAAGAAGAGCAGTGGTTCAGCAGTGCTGACCTCCACCCCCATCCCCAAAACCAGGATAGGAAGGACCTGACATCATTAAAACATTTAGGGAAGGAAGCAAGATTGTAAGACAAGGATGGGCTAAAAGGCTGTCTGTAGGTGGACCGTAACTCCCATCTGCTAAAGACAGCACAGTCAGTGGGGAAGGATGATGGGATTTTCAGGTCAAGTATTTGGGGATGGTAGAAGTTGCTGACCTTTGGAAAGTTGTATGCAACAAAAAAGAAGAGCAGTGGTTCAGCAGTGCTGACCTCCACCCCATCCCCAAAACCAGGATAGGAAGGACCTGACATTGTTAAAACATTTAGAGAAGGAAGCAAGATTGTAAGACAAGGATGGGCTAAAAGGCTGTCTGTAGGTGGACCATAACTCCCATCTGCCAAAGACAGCACAGTCAGTGGGGAAGGATGATGGGATTTTCAGGTCAAGTATTTGGGGATGGTAGGAGTTGCTGACCTTTGGAAAGTTGTATGCAGTTACATATAAGGTAAGAACCAGAAAATTAGCATTGGCTATTATTCCCAGAAGTCTTTGGGGAAGCCAGTAGGTGCTCTGTACAATATTTTCGTAGCCATTCTCTTTGCGTATAATCAAACAGGGGCCTTCCTTTATTGTTCTCTTTGCTGTTACGTCAGTTCAGTTGCTGAAGTGAGGAAAGCCCACAAGACGTGGGTTTAATTTACAGTTATGTTTTGGGTGACCTTAACTCAAGTGCTTTCCAGCTACAGCCAGGCACTGCATTTATGAAATATATCCGCTCAGCCACCATATTTTCAGCCGCTGCTGCTTTTCCAGGTTGTGTGAAAAAGGATGAATTCTTGCATTAGTCCGGCTTGTCTGCCATTAAGGTCCCCCTCCCTTTTTTTAAAAAACTTTTTTTTTTGCAGGTGTATGAATTACAGCCCAAGGCAAGAGAAATCTCTCTTGCTGTCCCTAAAGAACTCGTGGAGCTTCTGGAGCCCAGGTGGTTCCAATTTGAGGCCTCCACTCAGTGATGTAGCTGTATTGAGTTTCTTCCCTGAAACCAACAAAACCTGTGTTTGCATTTTGCTTGGATTAAAATATTTGTCCCTTTTTTCACAGGGCAAAGAGGGACTCCTGAAGCCACTGAAGGAAGGAAATCATTACAGAGATCTACAGAAGTAGGTCATGTGCTACAGCTGCTCATAGTTTGAGAGGAAGAAACATGGGACCTCAGACATGGAACATGACTCCTTCAGAATGCTTGAGAGCAGCCCAAGAAAAACATCCTCAGAGGCTTATTTAATAAACATTATCTATAATAGTCTCAATGTGTACTCACGTTTCCTCAGGAGTTTGCACCTACATCTCAGAGCTAACAAGATTCTGGGATGGAAAACAAAATAATTCATTGAGAAGGATTTCATAGTTTGTGTTCAAGCTAATGTGATCCTTTAAAAGCTGTCATTTTATAAACAATGAAAGTATGTTGCTCTCCTTTGCTCTTAAGTCTTTTGAAGCAGGATTTGTAAACAGCCAGCAATAATCTACCAAACCTGCATAAAAGAAAATTATATGTGCAGTGGGAAAAGTCTGCTATTCCTTCTGTGTTTTGTATCGGTAAATCAATTTGCAAGGATCACATATGAGCATGCATAAATGTGTACGTGCCACACAAATGGCAGAAGCATATATGTTTATGGACTTCATTAACAATCATACAGCAGTTGTTATCTTAAAAACACTTCTGTTTTCCCAGCTTGCAAAATGCCTAAAGTGAATAGTTAAATTAGCTGAATATTTTAATAAGATCCAAAGTGTCATTTTTTGGGTCCCCCTCCTTCTTTTTCTCGATAATGAATAATGTTTGTGAGATTTGTGAAACTCAAACCTATTGTTTTCTGGAGTGTGAAAATGAAACTAGAAGAATCCACGCAGTGTGAACTTCAGAATCTTGGATTCACTCTCTCTCTCTCTCTCTTTTTTGAAAGTATGTATTACTGCAGTTGCAAAAACAAGAATCAAGGGGTTCATTCAGTCCATGATTCAGACATCTTTCTCTCTGTTTTCAGAAAGGAAAAGACTACTTTAAAAGACGGTGTTGTATAGCAGTTAGAATTTTGGATTAGGATTCAGGAGACCTGGCTTCAAATTCTTATGCAGCCATGAAACTCACATAACATCCTTGGGTGGTCACAATCTGATTTACTTCACAGGGTGGTTGTGTAGATAACATTGTGTGGAAGGAGAGCTGTGTACGCTGTCCCAAGCTCTTTGGAGAAATATAAATGTAACAGAGAAATAGAATAAACAATATGTGGTGTTGACCAATTGGTAGATGTGCATGTTCAGATTAATGCAATTCTTGACATATTTTCTCTCCCTGGTTTCATGTATAGGACTGAGATATGGTGGAGACACTCACCTTGGTCTCGAGATCCACACAGGGTGATCTTTTGCACTCTCTGCACTTTTATGGTAGATCCCTTTTGTTTTAAAGAGGAAGCAGATCTGTGTGCATAAAGGGATAAACAATTAACTCCAGTGAAAACTGAGCAGAAATGCCAGCCTAAGCCGAAGGCAGGTGGGAGAAAGATCCTGCCAATGCACTGGAGCACTGCATATGTACCACATTGCTGGATCATGGCAAATAAAGAATTGATACACTATGTGCCATCTGCTCGATTTGGTGTTTTCATTATCATAGAGAGTCTGCCATAGTTCAGTAAAGTCTGGGTCATAATTAGGAAGTTAACTATTAAGATAACTCCCTACACAAACACACACACAAACACATGGACATGAAGTTTTCTCAGTCATGATCCAAATAGCATGCAGAAATGAAGGGCATGGTCTGCAAATAAATTCTTATGTTGATTAAAGCAGCAAAAAGCTGAATAAATATCCAGAAAGGAATACGCAGCTGGCTCACTACATCAAATCCCTTCTACATGAAGGTACTTTAAAACTATATCTATATGTTTCTAATAGAATGCTGACCCTCCTCTCTTCCAAGAAAAGCCCTACTATAATAACAGGAGAACTTGATACCCCAGTGAGATATTGCAGTGGTATCCCTCAGGCAGAGTCTGTAAATCAGGTTCAAAGAAGAAAATAACACTGAATAAATAAAGAAGAACGCAGAACACAAACTCTACGTAGTGTAGCTTATCTGAATGCCTCGTTGGGGAAAGCCAGCGTTCAGATAACCAGATGGTCAGATAAACAGAAATATTTACACTGATGGGTGGTGTGTGTGTATTACTTGTGGGCATGAAGTGAATTCAGATAATTGTGTTTGGCACACTAATGATATATTCAAATTGGATTTTTCCATGCTGTCAATTCATGCTTGAGCACAAAACAGGAAGAACATGGAATGTGATGTTTGATGCTACAAGGGGAAGGCTTGCGCCATTTCCCACTGGACCACCAGTATGGTTTCTTCAGGATTCATTCAGGGATCAGCAGAATTGGCATGTGACATGTAAAATATGGTTACTGATTTTACTGGAGATCAAAATTATTCAGTTCGGTTTATGAATCTGTGTAGCTTGTAAGCCATGTTACAAACTGAGCACTTTTTCTCCCAGAAAACTCTTTTCTGACTCAGGATGTCAGACAAGGGGCAACTGAGATAATACCAATAGTTCATTATTAGACGCTGGTAAAGATTTCCACAAAGTTTCATGGAAGGGCATTCAGACCAACCATCCTTCTGGTGGTTGGTAAAATGAGTACCGAGCTCACTGGGAGGTCAAAGTATTCTTTCCATAATTATGTTGTAAACTGCGCAGAGAATGTTCTAAGCCCTATGGGGTAGTATATGCTTTGAAACAACAAGCAAACAAACATAACCTTCTCAATGACCCATCACTAAACAAAGAAAACCAGTTTGCCAGACCTTGGGATGAGAAACTTAACTTTAGGATAATTTTATGCCTTACAGCAGCTGAGGAACTCAGTGCTTCTAGCAACTAGCTATCTATACCACACACTTAATTCTCATATCCCATCATCACTACATTGTGTTGACATTATGCAATAGGGGAAAACTCCTGAAGAACACTTGTTCTTGTTCTTCCTGTTTTGTTCTCTCTGGATGCCCCTCCTCCAACTATGAACTGGATAATTCATAAATGCCAAGCTGATTCCATACTTAAAGGAGTTCACACTCACCCATCACTCCTTGAGCATCTGAACCTAAATTAGAGCCTTTATGAAATGCACGCACGCACACATGGAAGCTGAGAGAAATTAACCAGGAGATACAGCTTCCGGAGGTGAACATGTTGGTTGGAGACTTATGAGAGCTATAGTCTAAAGAAGTAACGTTCCCAAGTTCCTCCTTCATATGCCTTAAGGTTCTTTGAAAGGAAGTTCTACTTTAATCTGAAATAACCAGAGACAGGGGCAGCTGCCTAAGGCAACTGGTTCTGAATGTCATAAAATGTATTAGTTAATTTATTGTAGTTACTCTTTGTTTGTCTAAAACATTTTTACCCCACCTTTCTCCTTTTTTTAATCTGAAATAACCACAGACAGGGGCAGCTGCCTTAGGCCACTGGTTCTGAATGTCATAAAATGTATTAATTAATTGTAGTTACTGTTTGTTTGTCTAAAACATTTTTGCCCCACCTTTCTCCTTAAAAAGGACCCAAGGGGGCTTACATCCCTTGAAAAACAACATTTAAAGCTGAAAATAGTGAGTATAAAATAGTGTACATCATTAAAAGACAATATTTAAAACTAAGAAAAGTGAGTATAGAGGCAGCTTACAACATTAAAAGACAATATTAAAGCTAAAACAGTAAGCATGCAAACACTAAAAAGGAACAAACAAATACCAGTCTGAGAGAATAATACTAAAGACCCAGTCAGAGCAGCAATGCACAACAATCCATCTAAAAGTGCCTCATGTAGCTAGCCATGTGGCCAGTCACTCATGTAGGCAGTCACTAAGGGAAAGCTTGCCTGAAGAGAAAGGTATTTGCCTGCTTGTGGAAGGACAACAAAGATGGGGCTAGTCTGGCCTCCTGTGAGAAGGAGTTTCAAAGTCTGGGAGCAGCACCTGTGGAGGTAGTGGGACTGAGAGAAAGGCCTCTCCTGGTGATCGCAACACTTAAGCTAGGGAGATTCGGTTTTTGAGGTACCTTGGACTCAGGCCACTTAGGACTATATAGGTTAAAACCAGCAGTTTGAATTGTGCTCAGAAACTGATTGGCAGCCAGTGGAGCTGCTATTAAGAAGGGGGTTATGTGATCCCTGTAACCGGCCCCAGTCAGCAGTCTGGCTGTTGCATTTTGGACCCACTGAAGTTACCTGACGCTTTCCAAAGGCAGCCCCACATAGAGCGAGCTACAGTAATCCAGCCGGGATGTAACTAGGGCATGTGTCACGGTGGCCAGATCAGATTTCTCTTCTACCAGCTAGTAGGTTCCAAAATAACTTGGTTTGCCTTAAGTACGACAGCTTCAGTCTAGAGGCACGCAGGGCATTGCCTCTTCTGCCCCAGACAATTTAAACATCTTGGGCCAGCCCTGGAAGTCACTGAAAGTCAGGTTTGTAGTGAAGAATCCACATGAAGACATTTTCACACAAGGCTACTGGGGATGAAGCATGCAACACACCCATGTTGTCAGTCTGTTTTTGTTTCTAAGACCAGACTGTGTTTTTTTTGTTGTTTCTGTTTTCGACAACAAAATTGAAAGAAAACTAGAACAGGTTAATGATACTGTAAACCTGAGTGGAGGACTGCCAGGGGACAGGACTGCTCAACCTGGATGTGAGGGCGATCTGGCTGCGACATCTGTCACCCCATTGATCGCGAGGGTTGATTCGGCTGATCTGGCTGGCTAGGCGGGTGTCCCCTTCCTCCCTCACCGCTCCATGTGCGTCCCTCCCGAAGCTGCGCGCTCGGTGGAAGAGGACGACCATCCCAGATAGAAGGAGTGTACCGTTCTTCGGTCAAGGGTATACGATAGCAAGGACTGCTCAACCTTTCCCATTCCAGTTATTTTTCTGCTCTGAATGGTCTCCCTGGTGACTTCTGTCTTTCTAGGAAAATGCTATTTGTATACATTTGTGAATATTATTCATGGGCCACAGAAAGGATATGAATATTTTTTTGACAAAAATCAAGAGTATGGCTGAGGCAGTTTACATTTCAGTATTGCCACAGGATAATCTTGTGCTTTAGAATTTTTTTTTCTTTCAGAGGCCAAACAGAAGAAAACCAGCCAGGGAGGGATGCTTCACTTTTT